CTGCTTTTTCACACCAGCTGCCTCTCGATGGCCTTGTAGCTCCAGAGCATCTCTGCTGCTTCTTGGTCCCACAAAGCAAGCAGGGTTTGTGAGAGGCTCACAGCTTGCAATGTCCAGCTGTATCAGCCTGTGGGACCCTGGAGGGGAAGAAAGGCCGTGGCACTTGGAAATCCACACTGCAGGCCAGGCTGCAGGGCATGTAAAACAAGAGGCACTGGCCTGATCCTGTGCTTGGTACATGGAAGTGAGTTGATCTATACACATGAGAATCCAGATCCTCAAGGACATTGAAACACCTAAATCCCAGTGGTATCTTTCAGGATGTGGTTTCTGGGATCTTACACTTCCATTTGTACTGTTGAAAACCTGCATCTAAAATTCATGCTCCTCAACCCAGTGTGCTCACAGTGATTGCACAGAAGATGCAGCTGAGGCTGCCCTAGAACCTTGGGCTACTGATCAGCCAGACTTCACACTCAGGCTAAGAACAATGCACCTCTGGCTAAGAACAATGCACCTCTTTCCAACCCATTCACTCAAGTCTCTCCTCACAGAAACTGGGGGGTGGACATCAGTGAGGCACCCAACTCTTCACCTAGACATAGGGTCTGGATGTGGAATTACAGAGATAGCACCTTAGGAGTCAAGCAGCATTTGCACTGACCCACCTTCTGCAGTGGCTTCTGCAGAGGACTAGAAAAAAAGAAGCCATGGCTCAAACCTGTCTTGTGCAACAGATTCTGCTGAGAGCAAAGCAGAGATTATGAATGAGCTGACAAAACCAGCCTGCTGTTGGCATAGGCACCAAGCAGAAACAGAGTAGCTACACTGGAAGTGTTTCATCCATTACTGTCAGAGAAGTCACTTTTACCACTGATCCTGCTCCAATAAATCATGTTGCCAAGCAGTTTTATAGAGGCGTTATACATCCAAAGCTACTTATGGTCCTGTTAAAAGAGATGCATTTCTTTTTTAGCTCAGTGTGGCTGAAATGCTGTCACAGAAGAAAGAGAGTCACTGCTCAGAGTGCTATTGTAAAAGAGGTATTATTGTAATTACAGCAGGAGGGATGATGTGAGCTAGGAGCCACCATCTTCTTCCCCTGTCCCATTGCCTTTGGGCAGCCTTGCAAAGCTGAAAATTTGTTACCACAAGTACAATAGCTGCTCACACACCCTTTGCCATGGTGATTGATGAAAATGGGGAAATAATGATGTTACTTCCCCCTTCACCATAAATCATCCATCCCCTCAAAGTGACTAGAGTATTATAAGTCTGGCCAGATTTATACAGACAACTTAACCAATTAGCTCTTTTATAAAGGCTGTCATCTTCTTAATGCAGTGTTAGATATATTTAGGCATGTGTCTACAAAAGAAAGTATTTCTTTCCAAAGCTAACAAAGCGCTCATACTAGCAGATTTAAAACCTCAGTCTGCAAATGTTCACCCTGTGGCTAACCCTTTGCATTATCAAGTTATTCAGCAACTGCTGATGCCAACCAGCATATGAAAGCAGGGGGTCTGGAGGCACCTACATATACAATACATATATACAGTATACATGTACTTATACATACACATATACATATTTATACACATACACATGTATATATATATATATATATATACACACATATGGTTTGTCACTGTTGAGGCCAGCAGGAAAACTCTCACAGATTATGTTACTAACACGTTGAGTAGCCTAGGAAGCCACTATATCCAGCACGGCTAAATCTACATGACATTCATATAATTCCCATCAAGATTATGCTTTTGAATTTGGCTCTGTTTAAATGTGGCCCTTCCTGTGGCTGGCCCTATTGCCATCACAATGCTGCTTTGCCTAGCACCAGGAGGAACCTACCCAGCTGCCAATTAGCAGAAAGGCCACTCCAGTCTCTGGAAGGCAGAGATAATTTCCAAGTCCATTACCTCACTGAGCCCATAAAGCCCAGCAAGCAGCGCAGGCAGTAGTGGAGATGCTCCATTTCACTACTGAGCAAAGGTGATGGGAGAGGGATCATGGGCAGCGATGCAGCCTTCACTGCGCACATCCACCACATCCCAACAACTCAGCAAGGCAGCCACATACAGTGCCAAGGTGCCTAAGCACAAAGTCCACCTTTTAGTTTCCCCTGCACTGTCTTCTTAAATCCACACACAACAGTTAACATCATGACACCCTGTCAAACATAAGAAAAGCACCAGAATGTCCCTGTTTCAGCATTTGCTTGAGACAGAAAAGGGTACTGCACAGACAAAGAAGAGAAGCAAGGAGGTCTCTAGGCAGTCTGCTGCACTATTATCCCTCAGAGAACAAATACTGGAGGGGGTGGAGAAAAAGCTTTTTTTATTTTCAGGAGTCAATTGCATGTAACAGAGCAGCTGTGACCATGCTGCCCTTGGGTCAAAATCTAGAGCACACCTCTGACTCCTGGCCCCTGTACAAAGAGGTTGCTGGAAACCCTCTAAAGTAAACAGCAAGTTTAGCTGTCCAAACAAACATGTACTTGCAGTGACGGAAGCATATCAAAAAGCTGGCTGACCCAGCTGCCTATGGATCAGAGAGACAACCTGCTGGAAAACCTCAGCCAAAGAGTATTTCTGCCTATCCATATGCAAGGAACTCTTTGCCATGGGACAACAGGATGCCACAGATAGTAAGTTTACCTTAAGTCTAAAAAGCAAATAGAGAAATGAATGGGATAAAGTCTATCTGGGTCCACCAAGCACAATAACAAAAATCCCTGAGCCACATGGTACTAGAGACAGAGAATTATTTAGGGGAGGTATTAGTTCACAGTTGTACTGATCCTGTAATGTCTCAGGTGTCCACTACTGTCTGTCACTGGCAGCAGGGCACTGAGCTAGATGGACCTTAATGTGACAATATATCTAACTTTTCCTGATAGTTGGTCATGTTGAAAATCAGTCATGAATATTTACCTGAACACTGTCTGTGAACCCCAGCCACAGGAATGCACAAGTGAACACAAGAGTTTTCCTCAGGTGAGCAGGGCCCCTAGTTTCTACATTAACACAAATATATCCATCAGCCAAAATCTCTCAGTGGCTGGAACCAACAATGAAGGAGATTACCCATCTTGCACAGTCAGCTAATGCATGGCAACACCAGGATATCTAAAATAGCAATTTATTTGAAAAAACTTTATGACTCTCTATAGATGCTGTGACATGATTAGTACCCCAAACATAAACTGGTAACCTAGTCTTTCAAATCAACAAATATCTGAGCTCACTGAGTCAATGATCAGTACAGAAATTGTAAATCACAATATTATTATTTATTTATTTTAAAACTCTAGAAAAAGCAGACAAAACACAGGTAACTCTGTGTGTACAGTAAAGGCAATTCCGTTTGCATGAACTTTTGAAATGCATCTGCAAGTCTGAGGGAATCGGTAAAGAAAGTGGTTAAGCCACTATCCATCATACTTGAAAAGTCATGGCAGTCCAGTGATGTTACCGCTGACTGGTAAAAGGGGAAACATAACCCCCATTTTCAAAAAGGGAAAAAAGAAAGACCTGAAGAACTACAGTCAGTCTCACCTCTGTGCCCAGCAAGATCAATGAGTGGATCCTCCTGAAAACTATTCTAGGGCACATGGAAAATAAGGAGGTGATTGGTGACATGGCTTCACTAACCGGCAAAGCGTGCCTGACAAATGTGGTGGCCTTCTACAATGGGGTTACAGTGCTGGTAGATATGGGAAGAGCAAAGCATTTGCTCTTGGTGGATAAGGGACTTGTGCAAAGCATTTGACACTGTCCCACATGACATCCTTGTCTCTAAACTGGAGAGACATAGATTTAATAGATGGACCGCTCGGTGGATAGATAAGGAAGTGGCTGGATGGTCACTCTCAAAGAATTGTGGTCAACAGCCCAACATCCAAGTGGAAAGCAGTGATGAGTTGTGATCCTCAGGAGTTAGTATTGGGACCAGCGCTGCTTAACATCTTTGTTGGTGACATGGACAGTGGGATTGAGTGCACCCTCAGCAAGTTTGCTGATGATACCAAGCTGTGTGGTGTGGTTGACATGCTGGAGGGAAGGGATGACATCCAGGACCTTGACAGGCTTGAGAGGTGGGCCCATGCAAACCACATGACGTTCAACAACGTCAAGTGCAAGGTCATGTGCATGTGGGTCAGAGCAATCCCAAGAACAAATACAGGCTGAGAAATGAGTGGATTGAGAGCAGCCCCGTGGAGGACTTGGGGGTGTTAGCGGATGGAAAACTGAGTATGAGCCAGCAATGTGTACTCACAGCCCAGAAAGCCAACTGTATCCTGGGCTGCATCAAGGGAAGTGTGGCCAGCAGGTCGAGGGAGGCCATTCTCCCCCTCTGCTCTGTTCTCACTGAGACCCCAACTGCAGTGCTGTGTCCAGCTGTGGGGGCCCCCAACATAATGATATGGACCTGCCCAAGCAGGCCAGAGAAGCGCCACAAAGATGATCAAGGGGCTGGAGCACCTCCCTTATGAGGACAGGCCATCCTGGGGTTGTTCAGCCTAGAGAAGAGAAGGGTCCAGAGAGACCTTACAAGCAGCCTTCCAGTATTTAAAGGGAGCCTACAAGAAAGATGGGGAGGGACTCTATCAGGTAGCATAGTGACCAGACAAGTGGTAAGGGTTTTAAACTGAAAAAGGGCAGATTTGGATTAGATATAAGGAATAAATTCTTTACTGTGAGGGCAGTGAGACACTGGAACAGGTTGCCCAGAGAAGCCGTGGCTGCCCCCTCCCTGGAAGTGTTCAAGGCCAGGTTGAATGGGGCTTTGAACAACCTGATCTAGTAGAAGTCATCCCTGCCCGTGGCAGGGGCATTGAAACTAGATGAAAGGTCCCTTTAAACCCAAACCATTCTATGATTCTATGATAACAGTTAAGACTGTTTATGAAACTGTACCCTGCCTACTGCATGTGAAACACCAGTAGCAGGACTACACTGCCTAAGCCTACAGATGCAATTGCTCTCAATGTTGGGTCAGAAGCTCTCGTTCTCTGTTCAGAAAGTATGCATGTTATGAAAAAAACTCCATGCTGCTGAAATTTGCAGCTCTGTGCATACCAGATTTATTATTGGTCTTAACATCTGAGATTTCACAGGAGAAATTTTGAGAAATTTCAGTATTTTGATCATTGCAGGACATTCACCACTAGTGCCCAGAAAGGACTGTATCCACAGTCCACGTGCAAGTTCAAAAATTAACCTGAGAATGCATAAACTGGGCAGCACTATGCCTCTCCATTCCCCACCCACACAGGTAAAAATAATCTGGGACATGAATAGCTCCCTTTGGATTCAGGGACAGCCTTAGAAGGGAGTTTTCTCCTTCAAAAGCTCCTTCAAAAGCCTATCTCTTTGTCTGCCTTGATTTCCCTTTTGATTCCTCCTCCCCTGCACTGCAATCACTAATTGCAGCCAATTTTCCTTTTTTTTTTTTTTTTTTTTAAGTCTTTCTGCCCTTTTTACTCAACCTGACTAGCTGCTCTTGCACACGAGTGCCTGAAACTCTCTCGTGAGGTCCACAGCAAAGCTCTTATATGGTTCAGTAAGAGAGAAAAGGAAAGCACATCAGAACCTCAGATTTTTTCCTTTTAGTGCTATGTTCTCAGAAAGCAGGCACAGATCAAACAGCTTGACCAGCCAGAACCTGGGATGCCATCTGACAAATCTCTTTCAGCTCCAGGGGGAAAACAGCTTTTTGAAAGTGCCTGAACTTTGGGACACTTAAGCATTAGAGGAGCACAGCTGTTTCAGTGGAGGTAATGAATTATACAAGTACCCATAGTAGCATGGTATGTGAGCGTGTTCCCTCTGCGGGCATCCTGCTGCATCCCTGACAGAGCCAATGGCTAAAATTCTGGTTTGATACCTAACAATGAAACATTGACAGTCTTCTTAAAACAAGACCTACCCCTTCATTTGCATTTGAGGTTTCCAAAAGTCTACTTGTTATCTGACATAAATTCCTGTTTTCAAGAACAGCCAGGTTTTCCTCCTCCTTTAAAGAAGACTGCTGCTCTAAGTACGTCTTCAGAAACTAACACTATCTAAGAGAGGTTTTTTAGAAGATCTGCACCCAACTAGATGCTCATTCTTCAAATGCACCCTCAGATCACAATAGGCACCTGCTTTTTTCACAGCCTGTATTTTTCTAATTCAATTACATTACTTCACACATTTCAGCTCTGGCCCTTGTGTAGGCTAGTTTTAAAGAAGTGTTACATACAAATAACAGGAAGGTGAGGAGAAGTGATCTTGGGGTCTCCACATCACGCTGTCCAGCTGCTATCTGAGAACAGGACATAACACACCTCAAAATGTCTCACCTCAGACAGAAGGACACCTGAAAACAGAAACCTGGATCTTCCTCTAAATGACATTTCTCAGTCAGATGACAGAAGCATTGCTCTCCTGCACACTATGAGTCAATCTAAAGGATGCTTATTTTCACCGCACTGTGTTGGTAGCAACACCCATGTCCCTTTAGAGTCCTTTTAAAACGGCACAGATAAAAGCAATGTTTTACAGCTGCAGCAAGCTCAAGAAGATAAAAAAAAGTCTCTGTATGCACTTTTGTCATGTTCCCCTGCCTGCCTCAGGTGAGACTAATAGCCTGCCAGCACTTGGACGTGACTCCTGTCAGGCACCAGTCTTGCTAATTAAGTACTTTTGGCTGTCTCAGCATCAAACTCTGGGAGCACAAGAGAGATAAAAGCAAGCCACAGAGAGATCACAAGAGTCTGTGTCGTTGAGGACCTGGTCCAAAACGAAGAAGCAGGACCGTCACAGGGGGGTTGCAGTGTTCTTCTAAAATGGTTGGTCCATAAAAGACAAAGGTATAGGTGTGGAGGAAAGGAATGATGGGTTTCTGTCTCTGCTAAATTATTAGTTTATTTTGAAGAGGACAGTAATACAGCATGGGGGGATTATCAGTGCGAGCCAGCACCACAGGGAGCCAAATTCTCACTCTTTCACAAACCAGACCTCATTGCGTCGCCCATAAGGCTTCATAGGGGGGTCGTAACCATTGCAGAAGTAGAAATCCTTGCGGTATGCAGCTTCACTTCCCAGAGCAGACTTCAGCTTGGCAGCATGGATCACATAATCTGTCTCTTTGGCATAGCCGCCAAACTGCCTGCAAAGAAATCAAACACAGAAAGGTCGGGAGGGAGAACAATATATAGCCACAGTGTATTTACCAAGCATTTCAGTCCAGGTCCCACCAACATGCACTTGTGCAGGCACTGTTCTCTGTGAACCAGTGCACATTATCGTGATAGATTAAGTCCCAAGGGTTGCAGAGCCAGGGTGCAGTCATTCATTGGCAGACCCCAAACAGACACGTCTATCTGTTAGCAGAACGGCCCTGCCCTTTGAGTCACCGCCATATCAGTGGAACAGCTTACTAGAACATGAGGTTATCTCTAAGTCTGCTCAGCCCACAGTCCTCACACCAATGCTGTCAACAACCATGTTCACTGTGGTGTGAACAAGAATCTGCTGGAGGTCAGGTCATGAAGGGAAGCCAAACTCTAGCTAGCCTAACAAAAAGGGGAGGTAGGAACAGAGATGTTAGCAATTACAGGCCACAATACTATTTAAAAGGGGTGGACTGGAACTGGTCTGTTTTATGTTGACCCCCCCACCAACAGTAACTGTTTCCACATCAGCCTGCACCTCACCACCCTGACTCAGAGCCAAGGTTTGAGACAAAACAGCATGTTCTTGCAGAAGTGGCTGACACTGGCAGCAAGACCTAGGCAGCTGTTGAAGGTGAGGGAGGAGCCAGACAGTTTAGAGTCAGTCAAAATAGTTCAAGCAAGGAGGCAGGGGAACGTCCAAGGGGTTAAATACAAGGTGAAGAGCTTATGGCTATTGCAATGCTAGTTTGAGTCCAGGTTGTCAGTCGATAGCCAAAGACATTCAAAGGTGATTTGGAGCAACTCAATAGCTGCTTGTTTCCATGCTGGACTCTGGTATGAGCCCATTCAAATGAGGCTTCAGCTCACAGCTGTAGTTTCATGCAAACCACACCAAAGGATATTCTTGATGACTAAGAACCATCTTGATCCCAGAAAGTGGGGAAAACAATAGTTTTCAAAGACTAGAAATTACTCAGTACCTTCATATTCACCCTCCCCTGCTCTTCACCTCCCCAGGTGAAACAAAAAGCCTTTCAGGACTAACCTCCACACTTGTTTTCCCAGTGAAAAAAAATCCATATTCCAAGTTGATGCAGCATGACCAATGACAAGAAATTACATAAACCACTGTCTTCAGTCTAGAAAGACCCCTCCATCTCCTACCACCTGCACCCCTTGTCCAGCAAGTCACCTGGTAAAACCAACACTGCTCTTCAGAGCATGCTATAGACCTCAGCAATTAGGACTGGAAATCCCAGGATGCATTCTTACGTAGAATAAATGGTCATCCCCTGCCTCTCTTCAATCTTAATGCTTTCATCATTAGGACAAGGAGGGTTGGCTTGAAACTGGCTTGGGATCCGCAGAGAGACCTTCACTTTCTGCTGTAAGGAGCCATCTTCAGCAGGAAAAGCAGTCATGGAGACAGGAGCAGTCATGCCCATTCCAACCCCTGTAAGAGACACACAGACATTACTTTAAAAAGTCTATTTTCTCAGGAACTCGCAGAATCAACAGGGGATTCACAAAAGCTAATATAGTTTAGGAAAACTTCTCACACTGAACTCCTTGTCAGTCAAGAGTGGGGTACTCTTGGAGCATGCAGAACAGTCACATTAGGCTTCTGTTTGGGCCAAACTTCTCTCTCCACTGACTACACAAGGACCCTGGGAAATAAGGGCCCCAGGTAACCTCTGGATGGCTTATTAATGATCCTGGTTTTGTGGCTCTCAACCATATAGCTCATGCCACTGAGACACTGTTCTGACAAATCACCTCTAACACAACAGGGTCTATAGTTCTGGGGCAGCCCAGTGGCACATGTAAATCTACATCAGTATTTAACTTGTTATCATCTGTACTTAGTGGTAAGCCCATAGCCAATATTGGGTGACAGCAGCTTTCTCCTAAATACTTCCCAATGCTTCCAGACATCCTTCAAGTTCCAGTGCCCCAAACCTCAGAGCTGTTATGTATTTCAACAGGACTGTCCATGCTGTCCACCACTGCAGGAAGAGCATGCTGCTTTTCTGATCATTACTACTGAGAGTTACCACATGGCACTGAAGAACCTCCAAACCTCAGGATCAGGCAGCCACAGAATCAGCTAAGATCAAGCCAACTTTCCTATTTATTTTGCTTTGATATCATAGCTGTCTGTGTGGCACATGCTACAGAAGGCACCCTTTCTCCTGCAGCAACAGCAATCATCACCTTTCCAAAACATGCTACTGTAAATGCCATTTCCCTCTGCATACAGCTCCCACTCCCATACAGACTATACATCTACCAGATGCCCGAGAAAGGTGTGCAAGCAAATGTATATGTCTTGAAACTACTCTATGGTCTTCAGCTTCTGCTACAATTGATTACTGATGCACATACTTCAGTAAATTGAGAACTAGAAGCAATCACTTGGAAGCACCATTATAAAACATTACAAAGTACCATTTAAAAGCAAGCTCATTAATTAAACTTTCATGAATAAAAATAGCCAGAGTGTATGACAAAACATCAAGGTCACAAAAGTTATTTTGTTGCCAACAAGGGCACATCACAGAACCGAAGTGCCCCAGATACCCTGGATTTTATCAGCTACTGCTCACCCAAGGAGCTGTGATGGATACATGTGTGCCTGTCTTCATGTTATCCCAGCTGCAAAGTAACTCACCCCTGCTTAAACAAATAATTTTAGAGATTTTGCTCTGAAACAGAGATGGGTTAGGAGTGGACTCATAGCATGAGTTGGCTGGGCATGCTTTGACCTGTAGCAAGTTTTCCCAGCGAGGGGCCATCTCCACCACTGAGCCCCAGTGCCAGGAGCCACAAGCCAGGCGGGCTCGCAGCGCCATTGCCTTCATCCATTCGACTTTTACCAAGCCCCTGCTAGTGGCGATCAACCACAAACACCCTCCATGCCCCGCAGGGCAGGGAGCATCTCTCACCCTTGTTGTTGGTTCCTCCGACGTACTTGAGGAGCTTGAGCACCCCTTCCTTCGAGGCTTCGTCAAACGGCTTCCCCACCACCTCCACCACAGCAAACCGCCCGCCCTCGCACGCCCTCTCCTCGTAGCTGAGCTGCTCCTGGGGAAGGAGATGAGGATGCAGAAGCTGCCAGCTGCCCGGAAGGGCTGGGAGAAAAGCGCTGCCCAGAAAATACCCGCTCCACCTCGCAGCGTCATACCCGGCCCGGCTGGCGCAGAAGTCCCGCGGGGGAACAAAGCTCGGCCGCTCGCCCCGCCACCTACCTTCTCCCCTTTGCTCAGCACCTGGTAGGGCCATGCCTCTACCGTGTTCAGCAGGGAGTTCTTGATCATGCCCAGCATGGTGCCGCTAAACTAAGCCAAGCTCAGCTCGGCTCGGCTCGGCTCAGGCCGGGTGGGAGGGCGCGGGGAGCGTCCTGTGTCCTGCCGCCTGCTGCGCCCCGCCCCGCCCCGCCCCGCGCCACAGCGGGGAGGCCGCGGAGCCTTGGGCGGGAGAGACCCCCGCCGCGGTGAGCTGGGGGAGCGGAAAGCCGGCGGCCAAGTTATGGAGGACGCCAAGAAGCGTGAGGAGTAATAAAGTGCGGGAGCGGGTGGCATTTCTCTCAGGGGGAGAAGAAATCCGAAGGAATTAAGATACAAGGGAGGGGAAGTACTGACGGAAGTGTGTAATACATAGCGTGGAGGGGCACAGCTCTCCTGAAACTGCAAAATCATGACGGTTTGGGGGTTTATTTTAATAAACAGAGCTACGGGGATCACACGTCTGTTAAGACTGAATTTAAGGCAGTGAGTACTCCGTGGCTCTGTGGATGTTGTGAGCTTTAGGTAAGGGATAGATCATAGAAACTGCTGGTGGTATTTGCTCTTCCTCCGCTGACTTCTTCATTCTGACTTCACAGCCCAACCAGTCAACTCCGTTTAAAACTCCAGCCAGGTCCCTTCCCAGAAAGATGTAAATGAATGTAACAGGGGACTTAGATAGCTTATATAGCTGGATATATTTATGTGAATGGAAGACTTAGATCCTTGGTGATCACAAGTGGATTTTAGTTGTATAAATCTCAAAGGACGAGTGCCAGCTAGAGAAAGTACCTTGCCCAGGATCATTTAAGAAGGTTGCAGAGGCAGCAATCAAATCGGATCAGGCCAGCCTCCCCAGGCCAATGAAGCAGAGGCACCTCAAGGTCCTTGCTCAGCTGGACTCCTGCCTCCTAAAGTAGGTGAGTGGCACAAAAGCAGGCTGAGGCATAACTTCCCTGTATTCTTAAAGAGCAATAAAGAAAATTATAAAAGAAATGTGACATTAAAGCATTTCCATCTAGAGAGAGGGTCATGCAAAGGTAAAGCAGTTAAAGCAGCTGGCTACGATCATCTGATCAAACAGGTCATGTTCAGGTCAGGGAGCAGGGATGGAGCCTGACATGGACTTTCACAGCATGCATGACAGGGGCTGTTATCAATGGTGACAAGGCCACAGATCTAGTAATTTATTAACCATTTATATTACTTGGTTTATTCATCATTATGGAAGCAATTGCAAAATTGTAATATACATTGCATGCTGTATCTTATATGTTGTCTTTTAAAGCAAATGGTGAGTTTCTCTGTCAAGCTGAGGAGTTGTGCCAAAAATACCAACTTGCACATATCAATGTAGGAATACATGGACTAGGACAGACCAGTGGTCCACTTGTCCAGTTCTCTGTCTCTGGCAGAAGCTGGTGGTGGACATCTAGGTAAGCTTTTACGCATGCAGTGATCTGGTCTGGCCTCCCACCTCCAGCTATCTGTAACTGACAGAAGTCTCATCTTTCTGTTTCAAGTAGTCCTCAATTGATTTTATGCAACTTCAGGTTGCCTGATAAAATGCTTATGTCTAAAATATGGACATGAAAGCTGATATTTATGTTGTATTCTTTCTCCAGATAGACCAAAGTGACCAGCAGTCCCTACAGCCCCAGGCAAAGTGTGTAAAGCATCTCCCAGAGGGACCAGCAATCTGTGCAAGCATGATGCTGATGCTACAGCATAGCCTAGTAGCCCTGAATGCAGAATAACAGGGAGGACAGGGCCTTTCTCTCCTGTTATTCCTTGTAAACTGGGTAAATATATTCTGGGGTCAAAATACTCTACATTTCCTGAGAAATTATGATGACAACTTCACCAAAAGCACAAATGTATCTTTTTATCAGCCTTTTCACAGGCTTCATTTTTACCTTGTCTAGCTAAATTCCCAAGCAAAAGCCAAGGAGAGACATTCCAAGTTAGAGTTTTGTTATTTTCTGAAAACCTGAACTCAGAGAATTTACATCCAGGAAATATTTATCAGTATGTCTCATACACTCCTCATACCTCCCCCACTTAACTCCCAAGTTGCAGCCAAAATGCTGTGTTACTTTTTCTGGTTCATTCTGAAAGATTTCATATGAAACTAGTTTTTTCCCTTTCCCTCTGGAAGTTATTGTAGTGTCACTGAACTTCTTTCCATAAACTCAGGCCTTGGGAATCCCTAAATAGCTAGTCTGCATCCTTGCTGTTTATGACTGGAGAGTGTTTGTAAAACAACTGTTATGCCAGTCTTCCCCACAACCATTTAGACACAATCCATTCTTTATTTTTGTTCTCATAAACTGCTTCATCAAGACCTTTTAAAAAATAGTTTATTTTCCTCTCTGACTCTCCTGCCTATGTTTCAGCAGATTTCAGGTATGCAGTTGGCTGTAACACTGGATGGGAATCTATATTGGGTTTACATTTAGAGACCTGAAGGGCAAGTCCACTCTGTCCTCTGTTCAGTGCTTAATTTGATTTCTGAACTGGTTTTTATTACTAGTTCTATTGTCAGGAAGCCACAGGCAAAGACAAGCAGAGGTCAGGGTATTCTGGGTACTCCCTGAGGCACAAAAGTTCTTGGGGTGTGTAGTTGTTCTTTTCCTACAGATCTTAATTGTGCTAAAGGATGTCAGGAAATGTCTGGAGGTCAGTGATTGCATATGAAGATGATACTCTGCAAATTAGACAACAATTGAATTATTATCTGGGATTTTGAGGACTGAAATGTCTCAAGCTATTTTGGAAAATCCTTCTTGGCACCTATCTATCTATGCCATTAGATATCGAAATAGTTTTGCAAAAACATCCCTCGTTTCCAAGGGTCTTGGCAGAAGTCAATATGATGTCTTTCAGAGTGCTGGAAATTTGGAACATATCTGCTGAATAACAAGGTGCTGAGTGCCCAGTTCCAGGTAGCTAAAAAAAAAAACCTCTTTGCAGAAGTTGGATGTTCAAATTTGGTCCCTAGAATCTAACACATCTTCAGTCTTGAAACATGATGCACAGACCCCACCTACCGTACCCACCCTCTGAACATGTCAACAGGACATTCTTTGCACTGACGGAGAATAGGTGAAGGCTGTATTTTAAAAACAGCTTCCTCTCCCCATCCATGCCCAGCTGGAAGCGCCAAGCACTAATCTATCTTCCTACATTCATCTCACATTCAGCACTTTTGAAGATCAAATTCCCCAGCTGTTTCAAATAGAGTGCTGTAAAAATAGGACAGAGAGAGAAATTCACCTGATCTTTATAGAAAGAGCTTTCTCTGGTAAGCAGAAAGAATGACTGTATAGCCTAAAAGTATTCACACCCAAGTAGACTGAGCTTGTTAACTTATTTTGCTTGGGACACAAAACAGCCATCATTGAAGAACAGGGTCAGATCTCACCTACTGACCCAGGTTTAAAAAGCAGTAACAATATGCAGAAGTTCTGGTCTCCTTAGTAAAGCTGACTTGTATGTCCTTTACTTTATTCTCTCTAGCACCATCCCACTGATAAAGGCTTAAGCAGATGAAAAAAAAAATTAAACATTTCCCTTTTTTTTTCTGGTAGAAAATTAACTCCTCTGAGGTCTCCTGTGAGCATACAACCTTCTTCTATGCATCGGAAGCCTCCGCATCTGAGTATTTCCACGCCTCTGGCTCTGCAGAGCCTTCAGTCGGATCGGAAGGACGGTTTTGCTGATGACATTGAGACGTTCATTCAGTTCTTCTAACCTTTTCCTTATCGACTGGACTTCCCTCACAAGATCGTCCACAGCTGCGGAGACAGGGCGTAGACTACAGAGAGAGTAATACAGGAGAATAACTAATTGTGGGGAGTGTTCCTGAGCATGCAAAATAACTTACCATGGCCCTCTGTTTCTTGGTGTGTAAGAGCCCTTCATGATGAAAGAGTTGCAAATAACCATTAAAAGATGCTTCCAAAGTTACTTTGCCCCTTGCATGGTGGGAATTCATCTGAGATGACCTCATCTGAACCCAAGAAACCACAAATTTCAGGACTACCATAGGCAACATGGTCTTTCCACCACCACCAAAGCACAGCTGGCTCAATGCCAAAAGAGAGCTGGTTTATGAGCTCCCAGAAGCACTTCACAGTACTCCTACTTTAAGGGGGGAACTGAAAACCATCCTGCTTGGCTGGAACCAGCAGAGGTAGAGAAGAAGAAAGCAGCAATGAAGAGGATTACCCATGAGGGCTTCCCAGTGAAGGGCAGGCTGCTGCGTGCCATAGTGCAGCTGTGATTGCACAGTCCCTGGATCACTCCAGGCTGTGCCTCTGCCTGAGCTGAGGGAGGGGGAGAGCCAGGTTTTACATCGGGATTTGGCAAGATGAGGGCTGTACTGATGCACGAGTGTGCTTGGGGGTAACCTGGTCCCTTCCATTGGAGGGCTTTCTCTCAGTCTCCCTTTGGGTTATAAAGCTCTGATGCTCATTCTAATTTCACCTGATGTTAATTAGTATTAATTAGCCTCACTGTAACCAGGAGCAGACATTGAGGCTGGGCCACTGATTCCTGTGGATTACTGTCAGTCACATTTCTAATGGACCAGTCTGTGTCCTTGCCAGCAAACTCTTATTTCAAAGCCCTATGCAGGAAATATCATTGGATAGTCTCCTTACATCTCCCTGACAAAAGTTAGACTGTTCCAAATACATGATTTAATATTGGCCCTGATGATCTTAGGCACCAATGAATTTCAGCACTGGCAGTGTGAAAGTTGTGATGAATTCTGTGCTAATATCAACAGCCCCCATGCAGCCAGGGAGAAATCCACTTCATGCCAAAGGCTAACATGTGATCTGTCAACTATATCCTCCTGAAACCCTAATTTGTACAGATATTGTATGACCCTTCTGACTAGAGCCATTTTATTCTTCTAGCCTTTCCTCTTCAACTGGTTCAATGCATAGCAGTTGCAGACAGATGTTTTTTTCTTTTTCCTGAAGAGAAAGCCAAGTTATGGAAGAGGACCACTTGCTTTATGAACAACTCTGATTTAAGTGATACTAGTTTTCTAGTTAATTCCCAGTATTACCTTCTCCTC